TTCTCTTCCACATTTCCACTAAGCAGCAGCTTGGTGCGGATGATACTGCCGATGGCGCGGTAATACGCGCCCCAAGACCGACAAGGATAATTCTGTGTCCCAGCAAGACGCGGTGGGTCCTGGTACTGTGTGATGCCGTAAGTCGGGCGCCGCAAAGTTCTCCAAGTGGCGAACGTTGCTGTCGCTTGGCTTCCCCCGGCAATGCGGGGTGCTGGGCTTTGGTGCCACGATAAGGTGGCCGGCATCACCAAGGTTTTTTTTTTAATTTTAAAAGCCGCAATCCGCACGCAAATTCATAGTTATCGCTGGCAACTCTCTGTTCTATAACCGCGGAAGGCGTGCTGCAACGTTTAAGTTTTAAAACGGCTGAGTGTTATCTTCCCCGCCACCCGAAGCGTAGCCACTGATAGGATGTGCCCCCCCTCTTCCGTGGAACCAGCGGCCGCCCAACAAAGCGGCCAAAGCCTTCGCGCAGGAAGGTGGTCGAGATAAACCTCAGTTAAATGCTCCTCCCACTTGTTTGGGGTCTTAAATGCGGTCCCGTTGTGTGCGCGGATCACTTTAGGCATTTCTATTTTTTGAATGAGCCTTTTCTGGTAGAAGAGTGCTCCGCGACTGCGAAGCCAGTCGCCTCATTTCCTCCTTTCAGCGTTATTTTTTTCTCTTATCCCTCCAGATCCCTACGTGCTTTGGCCTGCTTCAGATACCGCACGGTTGTGGTCTGTTTGGCATTTAACGTTGGCTTTGTTTGGTTGCTCCTGCCGAAAAGCGACTGTGTTTTCACAGGCTGGTAATTTATTTTGGCGGCCTAAGCGTGGTGATTGAGAATAGCAGAACGATTTTCATGTTTAGCTCGTGCCATAGCATAGCCTTTGTTTGAGGTTTTCCACTGGATCGCCAAAGCGCCCCTTTCCTACCACATCTGTCGCGTCGTGTTCGGGAATGATACCAAAAAATTCTGCTTAAACTTTAGGATAGAAGGTATCCTAAAATTCGCCATGATATTCTCACTAGTAGAATCAGTTAAAGACCTTGTGCGAAGTGGATCCTTTATGAAAAGGTCTGTGCGGGTGAACATGGTAAGCCCTTTATAATGGCGACGATATTATTCATCATTGAGCGTGAATGTTACTGTTGTATCCCTTTGATATTTTACGAGACCGGAAACCAGATCACACATTAGGAGTTATTGCCCAATGTGTATATGGGGTCAGCGGTTATAAAACTTGCGAAATATGGTTGTATAAAGTTAAAATATCTGCTAGACTCTACTCAAAAATTTCCGATTAAATAAATCGATAATGAGAGGAAAATCTTTTTCTTTTGCCGAGAAATTATCTAGACAGAATTTGGAGAGACATTCTTTCCAGAACATCCTAAAACCACGATTACAGCTCACAGAAGTTATTGATTTTAGGACTCCGGCGTCGGGGGCGCACGCGTTCATTTTTGTTCGAAATGCGCGAAGCCTTCTCAAGCATGTAAAGGGAGAGAGAGAGAGGTGATATTCCCATACAAAGTAAGGGTTCAGCAGATCTCTACCCACGCCAAACAGCGGAGGCGCATAGGTTCACAGAAAGCGCCTTGTTCTCTTCAGAGAAATAAAGCAGAAAAATAATATTTTTCAAAGACAATGAAAGTGGTAACCAGTGTTGCGATTATCCCAGTTCCTTCAAATGATGCGCAAGTTTTACCGCAGCAGCCTGTGGCTAACAGGGCAGAGAATTGAATCTGAATTCAGCCCACCGGTGAAGAAAAAGGGAAATAATACAAAATTTCCGCAATTTTTCACCATTAAACGGCCCCAGCGCCCGCCAGGAACCAACCCCTATTTATATAGCAAATTTTCAGTTGTTACTAAGAATTTCCGCGTAGTATGCGATGGCTTTGCTTACCGTGTTAATGCCAGTGCAAGCGCCCGCAAAAATGTTTTAGTGCGCTTTTCGGCGAGGCAGCGGCGGGCCGCGCAAATTAAGAGCGGCATACGATAAAAAAAGGAACATGACAAGATCAGAAAGACAGCGCCCCTCGAAAAGGACTAAGTGGCTTTGAGACTGGCACTTATAATCGCAAGCCGTTGCAACAAAACGACGCTGATTAAAAAAAAAAACGGATGGCGTTCCACATTCGTGCACCACTGCCACCAATAGTGAGGCGCAAAAACTTTCAAAAAACTCTACAAGAACGAATTTCACGCAGATGCAAGGAGTGTCGCAGTAGGGGAACAAAATGCAGAAAAGGCGCGTGGGTTTATCAACGGGATGGGGGGAAAGCCAAAAAAAATTAACCACCCTCACAACAAGGGTAATGAAAAACATCCACCGCCAACGCGGCATGACAGTGTTATCTGTGAAACAAATCCCCCACATCATAGGGAAGGAGCACCTTTCGAACACAATCTGGATCCACACGTCCTGACTACGTTGGGAAGGTGCGTAAATCCTCTCACCTTTGCCATTGGGCAGCGACCAACGATAAAATAAAACAGTATATTTCGTTGGTGTGGAATTGGTGAAAAAGTGGTCAATTTGAGACGAAAGCAACCGAAAACACAACGAAACTATACCACAAACAGTTTTTAATGGCACAACGCCCCAGGGAGAAGACACTTTACCCATGCCCCATTTCAGGAAAGATGAACCTTTGACATAATAACACGTTTGATTGGATACGTTGCCAAATGTTTTGGGCGTTTGTCATCTGAAAATAGAAGCTCGGGAATATTTTGTTGAGGTGTGTGGCATGGCGGCCGCGTCCCTCAACGAAGAAAAATACAAGAAATAGAAGATGCGGGTTGCAAACTATCAAATCCTGTGGGGGAAAAAAACAATCACTATTTGGACACTCTTGACTAACATCCTATAGGTGAATCTCTCTTATCTTTTGCAGTGGTTGAGAATAAACCGGCAAATGGGTGCTGCATCGCGCACCCAAAACAGGAGAACAACCAGAAGAATTGTAAAGAAAAAACCTTTCGCCATGTATCGCTTTATCTGGGTGCATTTTAGGCTGGGGCTGCGGCTTTATCCGATATTTAGGCTTGCTTCGTTCTTGCTGGCATAGAAGCGGACATAAGAGCATCTTTTTGGTATAAGATAGAGTCCAGGTAACTCGTTGAGCTTACCCGTTCCCCTCGCGGGTACAGGTGAAACCTGGAACTTCCCTACGCAATCGCAAGGATTGTATCAGCAGACTCTGAAATTATAAAACCGTGGTTTGCTGCTCCATCAGGGATGTGAGTTTATGATTAGACAGATAACATTTGTATTAGCATCCTGCCAAAACAAAAAGAAAAAGCTGCGCCTTACTTTCGCTAAAGATAAAAAGAAGGGACGAGTATAGTATTGCTATTTTCAACGCGTACTTTGTTTTATTCTTCTTCACGCAAAGGAAACACTTTTACCGAGAGAATATGAATCAAAGATTTTCCTTCGCACCCATTTATAAACTTACAAGAAGGAAGAGCCGAAAGCGCCTTTAACCTGCCCCCTGCGCGGGGTAGAAAGGGGTTGGGTGGGCTTTAAAAACGCACCTAATTTGCCACACGCTATAATTAAAATCATAAATCTATCAAAAATGTATTGTGTTAGTACTGTAACAGCGTAAGGTACCGGATTTTTTCTATCGCAAGCTGTTAAAAAAAGAATCTTCACCTAAAATGCTTCTAACGAAAGCAATTGGGAAAATAAGGAATAAGTGTAGTATTATTATACTTTCTTTGATTTGTTTTGATTTTTTCCAGAAGGCTTTGCCATCAGTAAGATATTTATTGTATTTTAAGATTTTTTCCTACGTCCAAAACGAAAGTGCTGAAGGGCTCTTTAATCCGCCTCCTGCGCCCCCCTTGGAAGTTTTACCCCGCCGCAGTGCCGCTAAGTTTGGCGGCCTTTTCTCTGGAAATTCCGTCTTCGGGGCCATCCTCCGACGCCACAAACCGTCATGTGGCACCCATCCGGCGTTCACGCAATACCCCGCCTATGGCTTAACCCTCGCGCGCCAAGGCGTTTCAATGGGTGCTTCCTTTTTTCGCGATATGCACCACCGTTGCATTATCCACGCGTATTTTCAATTTACCCTTGATGCAGCGATGAAAAACAAGCCGTGCTGCGTAGGCCGCTCGTGCTTCCACCTGCAATATTGTGGGGGTGCTTTTTCCCAACCCCCCCCCCCCNCCCCCCCCCCCCAGCAAGCGAGACTTCCCCGAAATGTGCAAATAACAAAGCGCCCCATCAGTGCAGGGAGGCGCCCGTTGCCAACGCGGCTGGGGTTGGTAAATTCGCGGCGGACTTGCTGGTCTATTACCAAACAACTTGCCAAGCCAAGGCGAGCAAGTTGTAACGCAAACGGGGGCAAACGAGCGGGATGCAAGGGGCTTGCCAATTCTTTTTTTAAGACGAGGGGAACATCGTCTCCCCACCTTTAAGAAAAAATAAGAAGGGAAGAGGGATTCTCTCTGCACTCCGGCTGCGAATGGCATTCGGAAGGCCGTGCTCCCCATGTCTTCAATCGAAGCCGTCGGGAGTGAAGGCAATTCGCGCAATCTTCGTAGTGCCTTTTGGCCTAACGAAACTGCATGCTTTCCGTGATCAAACAATACTCCAATAAATTGTTTCCGTTGGGATGGCGGTTGGTATTCCCCAACCTTGGCGCCACAGTCTTGCATATTCCGTGAAATGCGTTTGCCCCAGTATTTGACAACGCCCCGTGGTCCAGTTATGCGGATGCTGTTGATCCGCGTGTGTATTTTAGGCGGCCCTCGGTGATGCCGGCCACCTTATCGTGGCACCAAAGCCCAGCACCCCGCATTGCCGGGGGAAGCCAAGCGACAGCAACGTTCGCCACTTGGAGAACTTTGCGGCGCCCGACTTACGGCACCACACAGTACCAGGACCCGCCGCGTCTTGCTGGGACACA